ACTGTAATGGACAGAAGTCAAAGTAGCCATAGAAATAGTCTCAATTAGTAAGGCTGATGATGCTGGCATGTGACCATCATGTTTTTAGAAGTGAAATATATGTGGAGCTTACCCAATATTTATTTGATGTGTTTCAACAGAAAATTTCTAGATTAAGTGAACAAAAGTCTAACTGAATCATAAAAACAGAGTAATGGCTTCTCAATTAGTTCAAAGAAAGGCCAGGGCCCCTTGAGAAAGAAACAACCCCAGTATACTGCCAAAAATTAATCTTTTTCCCAGTCTTCTCCAAAAGAACCAATGTCCTTTTGGACACTGGCATTGAAGAAAGGAAATAATCATGCCTTTCAGTGATGTTAGACCCTGGTTCTCATATGACACTGATTCTAGGAAATGCAATCTGTGTTGTAGTCCACCAATTAGAAAAGGGATTTATGGAAATCAGGTGATCCAGTTTTAGCTCAGATTCATCTCACAGTGGCTCTAATGATTACTGGGTGATTATTTTCCCAGTTCCAGAATATATTAATGAAACAGAAAAACTTTACAGCTAGTATATTGGTTTCCTGACCTATAGGGTGAGCACTATTATGGTGGAAAAGTCCAAATGGAGGCCACTGGATCTGCCTTTACTTAGTATAATGGTAAACCAAAAGCAATGGCACATTCTTGGAGGGATGGCAGAGGTTGGTGCTGCCATCAATGGGTCGAAAGTTGCAGGGGTACTGACTCTCACCACATCCCCACTGAACTCACGTTTTTGGTGTGCACAGAAGACAGATGAAATCTTGGAAAATGACAGTGGATTATCATAAACTTAAAGAGGTGATGACTCCTACTGAACCCACTGAAGCAGATGTGGTTTCACTGAGCAAACTGACACATTCCCCTGGACTTGGTATGCAACTATTGACCTGGCAAATGAAATATTTTTCTAGTAACTATTAATAAAAGCTATCAGAAGCAGCTTTCTTTCCACTGTCAAGGATAGCAGTACACTTTCACTGTCCTGATACAAGGATAACTTAACACTCCATCCAGCTCTATGTCACAATTTAGTTTATAGGTCTCATGATTGCCTTTGTCTTCCAGAATATATCCTACTGGTCCATTACACTGATTGGACCTTGTGAATAAGAAATAGCAACTACTCTAGATTTATTGTTAAAGCATTAGTATGCCAGGAGATGTGAAATAAATCTGCCCGCAAAATTTAAAACTGTCTCTTTCTACCTCCATGAAATTTCAGGGGCTCTGGGATATGGAGCATATAGGGATATCCCTTCTAAAGGGAAGGATAAAATACTGTATCTGCCTGTCCTGTAACCAAAAACGACACCCAATTACTCAAATTTGATCACTACACTACATATATATATATATATATATATATATCATTGTCTACCTTGAGTATGTACAATGAATGTTAATTGAAAAGAACAAAAAGTTAAACGAAGTAGTTTAAATGTTCATGATTGTCCCCACTCCTGCTACACTGCCTTCTCTCTTCCAGCCTGCACCTATGGTTTCATGAAAAATTCTCTACCATCAGTTTATAGAGAAAGAAAATATTCAGGCTGTTTGTAGATGCTTCTGCATGACATGGAAGTATCAGCAAATGTAGGCAGCTACATCACTACAAACCCTCTCTGTTACACCCCTGAAGGAGAGTAGTGATGGGGAATTCTTCCAGTGAGCAAAACTTCAAGCACCAAATGTGTTTTTCACTCGGCTCAGAAGAAGAAATGACTAGATATAGGTTTATATACCAATTCATTGGCTTTGCCCAAAGGTCTGGCTGAAATAGGAGTTTGAAAAGAACAAGATTGGCCAACTGGTGACAAGTAAATTTGAGGCTAGACCTCTCTGAGTGGGCAAAAAATACTGGATATTTGTGTCTCATGTGAATGTCCATCAAAAGCTCACCTCAGAAGAGGAACGTATTAATAGTCATAGAACAGGACGACTCCTGACTCTGGACACCAGTCAGCCTCTTTCTCCAGCCAACTCTGCCCTTATCTGAAATGTGATCATAACCAAAGTGGCTATGGTGGCAGGGATGGAGGTTATGCCTGGCCTCAGCAACATGTCTCTCCACCCCCAAGGCCAACTCAGCTACAATCACTGCTCAGTGCCCTGTCAGCAGCAGAAATCAACAATGAGTCTTTGGTGTGGCAGCATCCCCTAGGGGGATCAGCCAGCTACTTGGTCACTAGTTAATTACTTGGACAATTTCTATCATGAAAGGAGTGCTTTTTGTTGTTGTTGTTGTTGTTTGGGGGGTTTTTTGGTGTTTTGTTTTGTTGTTGGTATGATCAGTGGTGGCAAAGCTATGGCATGTATGTTGTTTACTTTTAAGACAAAAGATGTTAATGTATGAGGGTTTTTTTCTAAACTAAAACTTCAGTATTCAAGTTTAATTGCAGTGTTGGTACTTTGTAATAAATAAGTGGGCTTTGGGTTGCAGTTTGGGCGCTCGTCTTTAAAAGGTTTGCCATCACTGGTATAGGTATTTCTCTGTATGAAGATTTGCCTTCCCTGAATTAAATGCTGCTGCCAAAAATTAATATTCAGGGACTTACAAAATGTCTTGCCCATCATCATGGCTTTCTATACTTTGTTTCTTCTGATCAAGGGGTTCCACAGCAAAAAGAAAAAGTGGTTCAGCCAGCCCATGTTCATGGAATCCACTGTTCTTACTATGTTTCCTACTCCACTGAAGTAGGTGGCTTGGTGGAAGGTTAGAATGGTCTTTTGGAGAGCTGGGTTCAGCCCCAATATTTTATGGGGCTGGGGCAAGGTTCTCAAGAAAGCTATGTATCCTCTGAATCAATGTTCAGTATATGGTACTGTAACTCCAAAGTCAGGATTTGTGCATCCAGGAATGAAGGTGTAAAAAAGAGAATGTCAGCACTCACATTATCCACAGTGACATACTAGCAAAATGTTTGCTTCCTGTTCTTTATTTTGTACTCTGCTGAAGGAATTCTTCAGGACACACAATAATGAGTCCACTGAAGTAGAACTCAAGACCACCATCTGGCCACATTGAGCTCTTTAATGCCTCTTAATCAACAGACAAAGAAGGCAGTTGCTGTACTGATAGAGTGACTGATCCTGACTATCAAGGGGAAATTGAGCTGCTTACCCAACAATGGAATTAAGGAAGAGTATGGCTAGAGTGCAGGAGATTCTCGAGGGCATCTCTCAATACTACAATCTCCTGTGATTATGGTCAATAAAAATTATGGTAATCTAATCCAGGTAAAACTACTAATAGCCCAGATATTTCAGCAATGAAGGTTTCAATCCCATCACTATGTAAAGAACCACGACTAGTTGAGGTGTTTGCTAAAGACAAGGGGAATATAGAATGGGTGGTGGGGAGTTATAAGAACCAGCTGTAACCATGTGTCTAGTTATAAAAATGAAGACTAATTGTCATGAGTAACTCCTTATTTTGTAATGGTTACATCTGTATGTGAATATGTACATTAAGTATCTATTCTTCCTCTCTTTTATCATGTAATATAATCTCCATTGACTGCTGTATATAATGGTATTTAAGTACTGTTAACTTTACATCACAATATTTATGAGATACCAAGGAAAACAGTAAACATCACTCAAGGGTTCTACTTTCTTGGGAAAGATGTAGTATATTTCCAATTACTCACAGGATAGTTGCATAATCTCTGGCAGAATACTGGCCTTGTTATTCCACTTATTTGGAAATTAAGCATGGTTTCAACAGATCCATGTGATGCTAAGTTGACAAGGGGTGGACTTGTGATTAGCTTAATGTGTCAATCTGTCAAATATATTCTGGTTGTGTCTGTGACGGTGTTTCTGGTTTTGATTCACCTAGGAACTGGTTGACCGGGTAAACTGTCCTCTCTAATACGAATGAGCCTCACCCAATCAGCTGAGAGCCGAAATCAAACAAAAAATGCTGACCTACACTTAAGTAAAGGAGCTTTTCTTTTTGTGTGCCTTTAGCCTCAAATCAAACATAGTTTTCTGGGATCTCAAGCCTGCAGGACTTTAGACTAGACATGAAGGATCAGCTTTTCTGGTTTTCAGGCCTTTGGTCTCAGATTGGAACCAAAGCAATGTGAGTCTCTAGCTTGGGTCTTGGCACTCTAGTTTGCTAACTGTATTAGATTCTGCATGGAGAAAAGAACCAATAGGGGCATTTACTGTGAGGAGTTGGCTGAAGTGATTATGGAGACTGACCGTCCTAGATCTGCAGGGTGAGTCTGTGGGATGGTTAACTCTGTCAACTTGACTGGAATAAAGGATAACAGCAAGTGGAGATGCATTTAATAGGAAAGATATACAAATAATTCCAATGTCATAGGACATAGGGAGCGAAAAAGAATACATAAATAGCAATAGATAAAGAAGTAATTTAATTGTCTGAGAAGATCGTGGAATGATTGAATAAGTGGGTTACTACTGAGCAGAACATTGAATAATGAGTGAGTTTAGCAGACTAGTAAGAGGGAAGCCAGACACTCTTCAAGTCTGAGTAAATGGAATGCCTGAATATAGAAGAATAAATCTGTATGTGATCAGAAATTCCAAATTCCTGAAGAATTATCAAAGCATAAAAAATGGAAGATCAAAATGATCTTTATTTAGTCTCTGGTGTGAAATAACAAAAATTGTGTGAAAATACTATCATTTAAAATTATATACTTTTTTTATTCCTTTGATTAAATTTTTATAATACCTGATTAATGATATTCAGTTCAATGTTCCAGGTCATAGTCATGCACTTGTTACCCAGAGTAACACATGATAGAAGGCCCTCAAGGAGCTCAGAAGATAGTCTGTGTGCCCATAGCGAGACTCACAGTCAGAGGCTGAATAGGCAGAAATCAAAGTGAGGCTCTGGAAGCACAGGGGTTTGCTGCCATCCCAGGGTACCCGAAAGTTTTCTCTTAACAGTGAACATGACTCTGTGGGTCAGTTCATGCTGAAATCTTCATACTCACTCTTTTATTGACCTGCATCTTCTCCGGAAGTACCAAGTCCCTCTCCCTGGGGGAGTTACACCAGCACTAGAAAAGAGTTACAGAAAGGAATCAAGCAAGAAATCACTTTAAACTGCAGATAATAAAACACAGGAATCTCATAGATATATCTATCTTATACTTTATTATACTTACATGAAACTACAGGACTGACCTGTTTTTTAATTGTGCAACAGTTTTGCAGTTATAACTGTATAAATTATAGATTTTTAAAATTAAGAAAATCAAAAGACAACAAAGGGGTGATTGACAGTAATTCTATCCAGGAAAAAAAATTACTAATATTGTGCCATTTTTTCAAGGAATTTTTTTATGTATGCACAGAAATTATTTTAAAATGTGATTTTAATAAGATTATGAAGTTTTATATCTACTTTACTTAACATTATAACCCTATTTAGGAACAGTTTCTTACATCATTAATCTTTGAAAGCATAATTTTAATACCCATATAATATTTGAGCTTATGGGGGTATCATGGTTGAATTAACTATATTATATTTTTTAATTTTTTGAATTTTTATTAGTGCATGATTCCAGTACATAATGATTACATTCATTGTGAGGAGTTGGTACACATACATAACACATGTTAATTTTTTTACTCCCCCTTCTCTTTACTTTTACTCCCAGTTTCCTCTATTGTCTTACTGTTGGATTTTTAGAAAGTTTCCAATTTTTTTCTTTTGAATAGTATCATAATGAGCATTTATTGCAAATCTTTAACTCTATTGCTCATTGCTTCCTTAGATGTGTTAAGTTGAAGTCTTAGTCGGAATTGTGCTTCTAAGAAAAGTTTAGGAGTCCAATGGAGAGTACTCTTGCGCAAACTGCCCATCAGTGAAGTCCTGCATCTCTTTGCAGAAGGCTTTTGCCGTGGAAGCCCTGCTATGTCCAGCCTTTGGCTGGAGGAACCCCTGGGAAGAGGGTGCCAACCCTGAAGCAGAAACTGTAGATTTCGGAACACAGCAACTAGGACAGTCATCTGCCAACTATGCCCCTGGAGATCCAGGTCGCCTGTCTTCATGGCTATCATAGAGGAGATCCTATAACACCACTGCAAATTCCTTTCATATTTGATAAACATCTAACAATTCTGAGTACAATAAAAAAATCTATATCCCATGCCCTTCCAACTGACTTATAACAGGAACTTGATAAGTGTGCTTTTAGTGTGGACATTGATGCACACATAAACAGAAAAGTATTTCTAGCCCCATAGTGAGCTCATCTTTACACCAATCCTTTCTCTTACTTTTCCAGGTCTGTCTACATAATGGAATTTTTTCAGTAGCACAGGTTTCAAGATGAGTTGTCCTTAATATAAAAGATGTCAATAAACAACTTAAATTCACAAGTCATTTAAACAATTCTGCACCATGGTACATTCCTATAGGACTTCCTACTGCAGTGTTTCTAATCTTTGGACTTTCTTTTCCTTCTCAGAGATGCCCTCCAAGCTGGGTTTTGATATTACTTGTGAAAATCTGTGCAGTTGTCTCTTGGGCATCCCATCTGCTTCTAGGCAGTCCACTTTATGACAAGTTCTAGACATCGCTGCCAGGATAATTCTGCGGACCTGACTTATTTTTGCTCAGAAACCTTTCAAGGATCAGTGAAATATAAATTATCCACACAAAATTTCTATAAGACAGTACTATCACAAATTCCCAAATATCCTAAATTATTGGATTAGTTGCTTTACTGGGGCTGCTTCTAACAAAGTACCACATTCTGGATGGCCTACAACCAACAGAAATTCATTATCTCACAGTTCTGGAGACCCAGAAGTTCAAAATCAAGAGGTTGGCAGGATCAGTTCCCTCTAACAGCTCTGAGAAAAGAGTCTGTTCCATGCTTCTCTTCCCGTTTATGGCATCCTCTCCTCGTGGGCTTTCAATCTTGTCATCACATGGCATGCTCCCTGTGTGTCTCTGTCTTCGCGTGTTCTTCTTATAAGACACTATTGTGTTAGATTAGGACCCCACCCTACTGCAATAAAACCTAATCTTAGTTTAACTAATTATATATATGCAATGACCCTACTTCCAAATATAGTCATATTCTGAGATTCTTGGAGTTGGGACTTCAATATTTCTTTTTGGTGGGGATACAGTTCAACTTACAACATGGACTACTGTAGGAAGCTCTGCTAGTAGTAAAATATGAGGAACAAGAACATAGGTTTTAAGTAAAGCTAAATATACTCAATATAAAGGATTGTCCCTTATTCTAAAATCATGTTCTTCCTATCCACTTAGCATCGAAAGGTTCTTTGCTCTAGTAAACAAAGATGCAGTAACAAAAATGACAGTAAATAGGCTTCTTCCAAAAGAAAAAAGTGAAAAGTTGGCAACTTTTTGAAATATTTTAATAATTGCACTTTTTAAAGAAAAATGGATACCAAAATCTTTTGATCACAAGCTTTTATTCGGAACACAAATTCAATAAATGCCTACAAGAAATGCAGTTTTTTAAAAATTATACTTGAACCCTAGTAGCCCCAAATAGGAGTTTTAAAAGATTAACGACAAAATAAATAACCTCATTTTATTTATTTATTAATAACATCACTTTGGAGCAATTTTTCTAAAATTATTATTCATAAATATTTAGTGATAACAATGGGTTGATCAAGCCTCACTATTTCTGTAAATCATAGTTTAACACAAGGATATGGCAATTTAAAAATCAGCTTCTAATTTCAATTTATTTCAATACTTGATTATCATAGTTGTCAGGACTGAAAAATTACCTTGGAAAAGCACACAATCATGCAATACAACCTCATGAAGAGGTTTATGGTTATTGATGAATGGTACATAAAATTATATGTAAAGTAACATCCTTATTAGTGTAAAATTTGAGTTTGGCAGATCACCAGTTTTATTATTGTTAAACTCTACATATCCATCTTTATTTATAGGTTAGGTGAAGGCACCAGTGTGAATTCAGTGCAACAGTAGAAAAACTGAACCTCTCTTCTTATTTTTCAATAAAATTAGAAAATTATCATTAGGCAAATACCATAGTAATTATGTTGCAGGAAGGGACGACTGATGGATGCTAAGCTTAGCAGGCAGAGGTATGAGAACAGCATATGTACGCAGTGTCCACATTTCCCCATCATTTTTCAATTGCTGAAGGGATCATAGTAACTTTCTGCTGGACCCGGAAGACATCACCTTAACCAAATGATCCAGGTTCACGACACTAGTAACAAAACATACTGTCCTCACATACCATGGGAAGTGATACACTCAGAACAGTACATCGTTCTTGTGATGTTCTCTCTGAAACATTCACGCCCTCATTCAACTCACTAGAAAACACCAGACCAGTCTAACTTGAGATACATCCTGCAAAGTAACTGACTGCCATCCCTCAAGGATGAAAAATAAAAACTAAATAAATACAAATGAGAAGAGACTAAAGAAACACCACAATTAAGTCAATGTGGGATCCTGACTTGAATTCGGGATCAGCAAAAAGGACATTAGTAGGAAAACTGACAAAATTCAATTAGGTCTGCAGTTCAGCTAATGGTATTATTACCAGTGTCATTTCATTGTTTAGATCACTGTGCCATGATTTTGTGATATGTTAACATTAGTTAAAGGTATTTGGGAGCTTTCTATACGATTTTTACAACTTTTCTATAAGTCTAGGATTCCTTTTCTTAAAAAAATTACATTCGCCAGTGGGAACTATAACATTCTCCTCCTCTGCTTGCTGGACCTGCTTGCCTCGGCCACATTAGCGATCCTGCCCTAAGAGTCCCTGAACTGGGACTTCTATGCTTCCCCACTTCCGTGCCTTCAGTTAGGCTATTCCTTTCACCAAAAACTCATTCTTCATTTATGCGAAATCTTACTGTGCGTAGAAAGGGAAGAAACTTCTACAGGAGTTGAACAGAACACTGCCAATACCAATCTACCATGACCAAACTCTTTCTCATCATTCGTTGTTGAACATCCATCTAAAATACCTTCTTGTGCTCACTTCAGCAGTGCATATACTAAAACTGGAGTGATGCAGAGAAGATTAGCATGACCCCTGCATAAGGACGATGCGCACATGTGTGAACTGTTCCGCATTTTTAATGGGAAAATATGTTTTGCCAGCTACTCCTCAGACAGAAGACTAATTCCTAGCATATACAAAGAACTCAAAGAAATGAAACCACCTAAGCCAAGAAATGGGGAAGAGAAATTAACAGACATTTCACCGAGGGAGGAAGAAATACAAATGGTCAACAAATATATGAAAAAAATTTCAACATCTTAGAGAAATGCAAATTAAAATAATGCTGAGATTCCAATCATTAAGAAATTCAGAGATAACAAATGCTGGTGTGGCTGTGGTGAAAAAGAAACACTCCTTCACTGCTGGTAGGAATGAAGACTAGTACAACCATTATGGAAATCAGCATGGAGATTTCTCAAAGAATTGAAATTAGAAATTCCATATAACCCAGCTATCTTCCCCAAAGAGCTTAAGTCATCACACTGCAGAGATACATGCAAACCAATGCTTATAGCAGCACAATTCATAATAGCTATATCCTGGAAGCGGTCTGTTTACTCATCAACAGACGACTGGATAAAGAAAATGTGGTATATATACATAATGGAATACTACTCAGCTATAAAGAATGACAAATTTGAGACATTTGTTGGAAAATAGATGCACCTGGAAAATATAATGTTGCGTGAAATAAACCAGACACATAAGCTTAAATACCATATGGTATCTCTCATAGGAGTGAGGCAAAGTACAAAGAAAATGATAAAGGATGGATAGAAAAGGACAGGGGGGATGAATCTCTTGCAATAGGGAAGTGGTCCAAGGGAAAAAGGGGGAAAGGTTGGGAGGAGAGAAGGGAAAATGAGAAGAAAAGATGTGCCATGTATAGGAACCTAATAACCTCAATTAATGTGAACATTATAGGCCATAACATGAGCTAAGACAAATAATATCAACAGGAATGAAAAATGGGATAGGGGAACTAGAGGAGGAGAGAGAAGAGAAGGAGAGAAGGAAAAGGGGTTAAAAACAAGAAAAAAACATGCTGTAATAGGTACATGATGATTCTCCAAGACGACTGTAAACTTAATGAACTGAAAATATGTGCAAATAAAATTTAAAAATTAAAAATAAATAAGTGAAATAAAACACCTTCTTAGCTATATGATAATTTCAAATTGTTCTTGCTACCAACCAAGATGACAAAAACAGGTACTATCTTCTTATATTCCCTTTACAATGGAAGAAATTCATCCCAAGATACTAAATAATTTGCACACTCAGAGTAAGGGGATGCAAGCTGCATACTAAACGAACATTTGCTTTTTTCCTTCTATTTATCTACAGCAGCAAGTCTAGTGGATAGCAGCATGTCTTTCCTTGATGAATTCATCGCTTTGCCCAGCTACCTTACTCGTCTCAGCATGACTGCTGAGCAGAAGAGTTCATGGCTTCTTCAGGGAAGACTGGGCTGAACATGTTCCCAGCCAAGGCTATTCTCTGGAAGTGGGCAGCTGCAAGGACTAATTTTACTGACAGCTTGCCTGGGACACAGGATGCTCAGATATTTAGCCAGACATTAGTCTGGGGTTTTGCAGAGAGCACTGTTAGATAATATTAACATGTGAATCAAAGGATATTGAGAAAAACAGATTGCCTTCTACTATGGCCTGGATCTGGAAACACCACAAAGGCCCAGGTGTTTAATTAAAGGCTTGGACCTCTATCTGTGATGCTACTGGAAGATGTTGGAACCCTTAGGAGTGTGTCTCCCAGCCATGAGACGAACAGTTTCCTGTGTCTCATGCTCATTGCCACAAGGTATTCCCTCACCACAGGCCCAATGCAATAAGGCCAACCAACCATGATCTCCAACTTCTAAAACAGTGAGCCAAAGCAAATATTTCCTTTTTGTAAGTTGATTATCTCAGGTATTTTGTTACAGTAATGAAAAGCTAACCAACACAGCCTCCCTAATATGAATGGGATTCATTCAAATAGGTGAATGCCTGAATAGAAAAAATGATGGCCCTTCTCCCAAGTAAAAGAGAACTCTCCCTTTAAAGACCACCTTTAGACTCGATCTGCAAGATCTGATGACCATTGAATTAGACCATCAACTCTCCCCAGTCTCAAGGCTGCCAGCCCACTCTGGAGATTGGATTCTTCAACTCCATAATTGTATGAACCAGTTCCTTATCACACACACACACACACACACACACACACCTATTTCTGAGGAAAAGCCTGGCAGAATTGTCCTATTTGCTCTGATATAAGTATTTTCTCTCGTTATTCGCCTCTTGCAGCCCACAACCATTTGTAAGAGAGCTGAAGGGGCAACATAATTGAGGTATTTTCAAGTCTGATTATAATTACCTCACAATATTAGTACACACCATTGATTAACTTTGAAGCTGCTACTTGAAAATGTAAAATACATTTCAGTATGCAAGGAAATGGCTGAAATATTGACTAAAGTGCTTTAAATACAAATGCTTCTTGGTATATCAGAAATATATAATCTATGTACACATTTATCTTTGATGTTTGGCATTGCTATTATGTGCCATATTTAACAACAAAATACTCATTTTTAAATTGCTTTATTTAAAAATGAAATTTGTTATCACTGTTTACTTTTCCGCTTTAAGGTGCAAGTAGATTACCACCTCTCTCAGTCACTGAGTGATGTTAATTTTCACTTTGGAGTATTTATTATAGCAATGTGTATTCCAAAAGAAATTTAAAATTTCAGCATTCACCATGTAAACAAGCATATTATTTTCTTAGAGTTCTACCACAAGTCAAGCTTCAGTAGTCTCTGGATTGTGGCCCTTACCTTCCTGAGCCTAAAGCATCCAACACAGCTCTCTTTTGTGATCTAAGTCTTCATACCTGCTCCCGTCTTTCAGCTTCTGCCATATTAAAATCTAAGGCATCATCTCAATTATTTGGCTATATGTGAAGTTTGATGCATTAAGTTCCCTAGTTTTAAAATTAAGCTTGTCATCTACTGAAACCCATTTGACAACCCATTTCTTCCCCAAAGTATGTACTATAAGCCCCAAGGAGCCATACATTCTTGCTATTCTGGGTCTCTTCTTGAGGTGGTGGTGAAACTAGATCATTTCCGAAGATCCAGGTTGTGGTGTTTGGAGAGACAGTGGTTAACAGCAGACAGGGCTTCCAGTTTGGAAGTCAGGCAGCGACTCAAGCAGAAGGGAATAAGGGCTATGCAGGTTGGCGTGGTCAGTATGTGATCCAGAGGAAGTGACACAGCCACTCTGCCATCTAGACCATGATTGTCCATTTGGAAGTAAACGGTGAAGATGCACAAACAAAATCAAACAGGTTACCTGAGTGTGTTTAAGGAAAAACTCTGCCAATCAACAAGGAAGCATTAAACACAGAGCCAGCAAATCCCACTTGGCAGTGTTTATCATATGCAGGGTCCTCGTCAAATACTGCATGTATTAACTCAATCCTATCACATCCTTAGGAAGGGGACATCGTTTTTACTGCCCTCCATTTAGAGATGAGGAATTTGAGGCTCAGATAGGTTAAATCACTTGCCCACAGTCACAGAATTGGTAAGATGTTGAGTCACAATGAGAACTCACTTCCGTTATTTCACCCCCTTCATTCTTGTAGCGCACTGTCACTTACATGCAAGACTCTCGCCCAAGCACACACAGGTGTTTCCATCTAAGCACCGCCAGTGGAGAGAGGTATCCCAAATTCATGTTCACCTGGTAGCTATCTCAACTATGAAAGTCAGAGCCTGATATCATCCAACACTTTCAATTTTCTTCACTCATCCCTTTATTCTCTGTTCACCAAACATGTGGCAGGCAAAGATTTGAATTATGGTCTTATTTAATTACGGAGAAAGATGTTCCAGGGCATCCAATTGTCTGTCAGATGAAGTTCTAGTAACGTGGTCCATGCTGGTCTCTCCTGGGTGGCTGGAGTAGGTGGGCCTCTCTCATTACCTTGGGAGCACTGATAACATACTACAATCTCCAAATTGGTGGGCTCTGGGCTCGACTTTTTGGAGAATTCCCCAGATCCTTGCCACCCTGTGAGGTTTGCATGGCCACCCAGAAAGCATTCACATGTCAGTCCAGAGGACATCTCTTTCTTTCAGAATGATTCAGTTGTAATTAGTTTAGAAACAAATCTCAGAAATTTATCTATAAAACTCCAGTGAGATCCACCTTTTGTAGTTAGATACGGTTCTTGCCCTCCTTCCTTATAGACACAGTCTGTTCCCCTTCTGGATATGTCCTCCTCTTGAACCAGGCAGTGGTGTGCATTTCCCACAAGCCAGGATGCTGTTTTTGCACTGACTGCCCCACCTCCTCCTGCTTCCCTCTAGTGGCAGCTTCAGGGATGGCAGACACACAAATTTAAATGGTAAATCATACTACATAATACCCTTGTTAAAAATCCTTCAGTCTTCCATCACTTAGAATAAAGCCCAACTATTTACCAGGCTCAAAGAGCCACTCACTATCTGGATGTTTCTGACCTCTCCAAACACTCCATTTCTTTCCTTCTCACAATACTTTCACCTTCGTTCTGACTTCAACATGGCAAACTAGCACTGTCCTGAGAACATGTGTATTTGCTTTTCTCTCTTGGGAATTTCTTTTCCCAGGACTCTTTCATCCTACTTTCTGATCATCATTTAAGTCTCAGCTTAAATATCATGCCTTCAGAGAAGTTTTCTCTGACCATCTGGGGTGCAGGCAACTTCTTTATTGTGATGCAGTATTTTATTAGTTCTTCATCAGTACTTGACATTGTCTTCTGTTAGAATTTTTAAAGATGCAGGTTGTTGCTGTAGTGTTCAGGCTGGCTTCAAATCCCTGGATTAAAGGGACAGTCCTGCTTCAACTTCCAGAATAGCTGGTACTATAATGCACTACGTAGCTTTTTATTTTTTACAATTCACTCCATAAAAGAACAATCGCTCACTTATTCTTCAGTTTTGTCTTTCCAGTGCTTAAACCAATGCCCAGTTCACAGAAGAAAGAGACTAAACATGTATTTGATAATGAATAAATTTTACCATTCTTCCATAAGTGTCCATAGTAGACAGAATTCATCAATTGCTGGAATCTTTCCTGTGCATCCACAGTATTGAGAAGACTATTGATTAGAGATCCTGAACACATCTCATATTCAAAAACAAATTCCAGAGAGAGTCCAGAGCCACATGTAAATAAACATGGAGATGATAGTTAAAGGAGACTAATCTTTTTATACTGCAATGAGGGGGAATGTTTAAATAAAAATATATTTCAAAGTTAGGCATATGACTCAGAAGCCAATAACAAAAGAATTAGCAAATACAGCAATAAAAATGTTGTCTGCATAAGACAATAAACCAAACTAAAAGATAAGTGAAATATTGATGAAAATATCTGTAAAATAAATGACCAAGAATTAATCAATTTAATTTTTAAATTTTATAAACCAAGAAGCAATCTTATAGAAAACAAACATTTGATAAAAACAATTCATAAGCACAGATGGCCAATGAAAGTATAGAAAGGTCTTCAACCTTACAAATAATCAAGAAAATAAAAATCAATACAGAATTCTTTTTTACTAGTTTAATAACAAAAAAGTCAAGGATGTCTAGAAAATAAAGTAATGACTCCCTTTATCACTGAAGACTTGGTCACTGGTGTCACTAGGAAAGAATATAGAATGGTTTTGCCCTTTTGAAGGCAACTGGTCAGTAACTAAAAAAAAGTTCATATGGAGGCTGGAAATGCAGCTCAGGGGTGGAATGCCTCGCAAGTATAAAGCCCTGGGTTCAATCCTCAGCACCACACACACACACAAATTTTAGTGCACGTGTACAATGATTTCCCAGTTAGGTATTTATAATAATTGATCCTCTTTGAATCCAAATGAGATAAAGTATGCCTCATGTTGTTTATCTGTATTGTTTTTAATTCTAAACTCACCTATTTATGGCCTTTGTTCTTCTGCTATTAGTTTGTTAGCTGAGGAAGAGAAACACAGGGGCTTCTAAGATGCACTTCTTCACCCAAGGGCTATTAAACTTCTTCATCATTTCACTTCCAATGGTGGAGCCCCTGGAGGAAGAAAACAGTTATAATTGTTTCTTAGGAGTGGACTCACTCCCAGGAATTTGCAGAAATTGCTAAAAGGACAAAGTAACTATTATTTTTTTAAAATGTAACTCACTGTGCATTAAGTAGCAAACATTCATTGACTACCTACATTTGGCAGGTACTGCTTCAACCAACCATTCCCTCAATTCTCCCTTGCTCTTATTCATAAAATATGTATAACCTTTGAGGAAGCAGGGGCAGAAGAACCAATGCCAGACATCAGAGTCCACAGCAAAGATACCCACGTGCCCCTTGTAAGCCAGAATTCTGTTATTACAATTTTAAAGGCAGAATCTCAAAATTCAAAAATTCTCCATGGACTGAGTTGAAAAGAACCAAAGGTTAACAAAATGCTGTACTTATTATAGCTTTTTAACCCACTTTTGCTAAATTATTATATATGTGTACATATGCACATACATTTCCATATATATATTTATATCAAAGAAGTTTGATAGGCAAACTTCTGGAAAAATATATTTGGAATTTATTTTCTGAAAAGGTAGACTTTTGGATTATTTTTATTTTTACCACCTCTTCTTTTATTTTCTAAATTTTTGGTGCTAATGTATGTTATACCCCAATAAACTCAGAAAAAGAAAAAATTCTTGCATAATAGTTAAAATTAGGTTCAGTAACTAAATGTTCCCAATTTCTTTTGGTTTCTTTTCTGCCACTTCTTAATCTTAAGAATTAGACAGTTACATTTAAAGCTACCTACCTACTGTAAGCCTTAGTTTCTTCACCTGAAAAAAGTGATAATGAGTAATAACTACTCTGATAGATTAGGATAGGTTTGGATTAAATGAGATCAAGTGAGAAAAGCCCTTAGCACCTAGCTTCACACTTAGTAAATACTCTCAATGTTAGTTCATTTCTCCTTTCTCCTCCATTGTATGGACAAATAGCAAAAGGCAATTAAACATTAGGGAGTCCATAAAAGCCATAACTATATACCCAGGAGTCGCCAGAAGACTCTAAGTTTCAAATATTTCATCCCATTTCTAGGCCATATATACTGATTTTGATTTAGGATTCATGATTTCCAGCAAGCTCGCATTCCTTTTGCCATTTGATTATAATACCTAACATTTTTGAGCACTTGCTAATGTGTTATCCAATCTTCTGAAACAAGAAAAAACAGCTCTCAGAATCTGACACACAGTGGTTTGCAGCTTCCCGCTTCACTCACTGATAACCAAAGCCTCTGGTACAGTCACCTAGGCTGTCACTGCCTTCCTTACAGCAGTCAGGGAGTCTCAGGTAAATGGAATGGTCCAAGCATTTCTCAATGACTAAGTATTTTTCAACACCAAAGACATTAGAGACTACACAGGAAAAAATAAGGAAAACTTCTAAATATATTTTATAAAGTACATATATATTGATACCAAAATTTGACAAAATTATACCAAAAGAGAATTGTGTGCAGACCACACACAGTAATAAATATTTATGCAAAAAATTTTAATAAAATATCAGCAACTCAAATTCAAAAATGCATCGAATTATGCATTATAACCATGTGTGTTTCTTTTGAGGAACACAAAGGTATTTCAACCGGAGGAGTTGTATTTATATAAGTCATTATACAGGATCCACCAAAAACATGTACTCACTCTTCAGTAATTCGCTATACTAGTCTGGAAGTGAATGGCCACCTCCATAAGCACCTCTTGTAATTGTAGGCCAAAGATAAGTTGTATTAATCTCATGATATTTCAATAAATTTAGTATTAAAATATTTATAAAGGTTTTCCTTTCCTGATATATATAGTTTTTGGCAGATTCTGTATTAATAGCCCCAAGGACAAAATCAGGATTATTTCCACAGATGGAGAAAAAACATATGCCAACATCTAATACACATTTATATAAAAAGAAAGCAATGCCTTGAATTTCCTTCATGTATATAAAAATGACATTACACAGGCTGATCAAAAAATGCAGTGTGTGTTTAAATTTTTAAAACATTCTTACAGTATAAGACATAGTGGCTTAATCCCCTTTAAAACACTCCTCCTAACTTTGAAAACCCTTATTTGCATCATTCTTGCCACTTTCTGAAGCAGTTCTGGAAGGCCTTTCTTGGCAAGTATCCTTATGAGCTGTGATCACAGAAATGGCCAATGCCGCTGCCCAGGGGCGTCCAACAGAAAGGCAGGCTTATAAAAACCCAATGTGTCTGATGTGTCCACATCCACCTTGTTTACAGGATCAGGCACCACTCCACTTCTGGCTCTTCCTCAAAGTCAAAATGATCACAAAAGGTACAGTTCAGGACACTGAGGCAGCTACCAGAGTGGAACTAAAGACATTTGAAAAAGAGGACTTTCAGAACTGCTTCAAAAAGTGGCAAGCACACTGGGATAAATGTGTTTGAAGAGAGGGGGAATACTTTGAGGAGAGTGAACACTGATGTGTCTTTTACTGTAAAAAGTTTTATTTTGAATCTAAACATTCACTGTAGTATTTGAACACACACCATGTGATTAGCATTAACAATACAGCCAGAGACTTTTACATGAAAGTTAGAACTCAAAAGAATGATGTTCAGCACACATTTTGTTGGCAGTACATTAGTCAATGCAATTAATTAAGGAAAAGCTAGAGTTAGTAGAGGCACAAGAGTTAGAAAGGAAATGGTTAAAATGCTATTTGCAGATGAAAAAATATCATACATCTGGATCCCCCCCCAAAACAGCTAAAAACCACTAAAATTAATAAAAACTTTAGAAAAAATTGGTTGCAAAATGAATATGTAAACCCAACAGTTTTCATATATTAAAACAAAAACTAGATAGAAGGTCAAATGGAAGAGAAGACTGCATCAAAAAAAGAAAAATATCAAATGATAAATTTAGTGATTAGTTCTATATTAAAGAATTATCACTCAAAAGCAAACTTAGAAGAAAGGCAAACCATGATTCAGGGTAAAAAGAGTTCCCAACCACCGCTCAAATGTAATGTGAATATTGTGCCTTTTATAAGTGAAGAGAGTATGAATATATGCAAATACCTGCTTATATTAATAACACGATGGAAGAATAAACCATAAAAATGAAAAGAAAATGGTTACCCCAGGGGAGTTGGTTTTGTAACTCTGCTTCTTAGATTTGACTTTGTAACCATACAAATAATTTACATGATTTTAAAGTAAAATTAAATTTTAAAAAATCAATTAATAATAATAAAATGTAAAATGAAACTGATGAACTTTACTGTGCACACAGTTTGTGGCAAATTCACAAAGAGAAAGAGAATTCCAAGGGGTTGTAAAATACAATAATTGGTTTATTCCTAGTGGGATGTAACCTAAGGGAAAAAGAACTGCCTTCCCACCACATATGTAAACTTTTCAAAGTTAATCTGCTGTTCATGACAACATTGAGGTTGTTATTCTGAGACTATTGTGTATGTACTGAGAAACAATGCAAGTGAATAATTATGCAAACTAGTTTTTTATCAATCTTGCAAAGAAATAACTGGGCAACAAATGACCTATTTTCTTCAATAAATACATTTTAGAAAAGAGAGAGAACCTATACATTAAAATAAATTTAAAACATCTGTTAGTCATAATGCATAGATGATAGATTGCAGCTTGGGTTTTCTGTGCTGTTGTTTTGTTGTTGTTGTTGTTGTTGTTGTTGTTGTTACTTAGTAATTTGCTTTCATAGCGAACACATGCTCCTTGTTGTCTGACAAAATTCCCACATCATCTCTGAGCGCAAGACCGGAGCTCCCCAATAGGGATTCCCAGCAGAGTTTATACCAGAGGGCCAGAGACAGGGATTCTATGCCTTGCTCTCCAGCTAAGGGCATCTGGATGCTCACCCGCTGGCTGGCCATTCCACAGACAATGCTGAGCAACACTGTGAGCCAAGCCTGCTTCCTTCTCTCAGCATTCCTTTTAAAAGATCCCTTAGCTGCCAAGTTGCACCTCTGTAATCATGCATGGACCATCAAAGGGACTTGGAAAGCAGAGAGGCTTCCTGTCTACACTTGGGAGTGGAAGCCCTAGCATTTGGCCCATGTGCCCTCCTTGACTGACCATTGGTGCTGACTTCTCTTTTGCTTGGGTTGTTCATAAACCTGAGTGCATTAGAATCACTTGGGGATTTTGGAGTAAACAAATACATAGTGCCTAAGTCCCACCCTGATAAATGTGGGTATGGTTTGGGGCTGGTATCAGTATTTTGTAATGCTGTCTCCTCCAGTCTTTGGTTTCCAGACTTGGACTCTAGTACCAAAGGTTGAACCAAGGAGCACAGCTTTGTGAGGAGGTGACATAGGTTGTCCTATCTGTGTTTGTTATAGCACTTCCAACCACTTTCTTTTTTTTTTTTTTTTTTGGTACCAGGGATTGAACTTGGGACCTTGTGCTTGTGAGGCAGACACTGGAACCACTGAGCTAAATTCCCGGCCATCCACTTTCTTTTTGATCTACAGTTTTCTGCAATACTGGGGATAGAACTCAGGACCTTAAGCTTATGAGGCAGGCAGAGCACCACTGAGCTAAATCCCCGGCACACTTTATTTTTTTGAGGAGTCCATCTCTTTGGGAGACCAATTCCTGATATATCTGCTCACACTAAGGTGCTAAGAACCACACTGGAGGCTGACAATCTAACCACACCCTCAACCTCAGATAAAATTCTTTCTGGGCTTGCCACTGCACACAAGATAAATTGCATACAAAAAAATTCCCTGTCAAGTATGCCCCTGACAGCATGTTCTAGTGTATTTGTGTGGCTCCTCCTACGGACACACAGATCCCCAGCTTAGCATGCTCTTCCTCACTCTTCTTCAATGGACAAACTCTCCTTTTCCCTCCAGAGCCAACTCCTTTAGCCCTTTCATAGTATCCTTGATGCCCCTATCAGAATTTCTGTTCCCACCCAAATCCTCCCTGGCATTTATGCTGTTATATTGATTGCTTTACATGCCTACCTTCCTGA